AGTGCACAAACAAGTAGTGATCGGTGCCAGCAGCAAGCAATTGGAGCTCGTAGTACTTGTCCATGTTGGTGCTCACGTTCACAAGGACAAGGGATGCAGCGCGTAGCAACGTCGATTGCGCGATGCCGAGCGCTGCAAGCGCATTGGCGGCGACGGGACTGATCGCGCCGCAGTTGCTACGCGCCGACTTTTTGTTGGGTGTCGTCGCAACCGAAGTGGCCTTGCGCTTGGGAGCCATGCTTGTTGTCGTTGGAATTGGAAAATGGCATTCCGATCGCAACACCACTTGATACGACCATCACTCACGCCACCATCATTCACATCGGGTTGTGCAACAACAACGTCAAACTGACCATCGCAAGTGAACGTCCCGCTACGTGGCGTTCAAATCCATGCGCTTTCTTCTGCTGCCGCGCGGAGGCGCAGCGTTCGTAGGCTGAACTCTACCTTAATAACGCTGGTATCATATTCGGTTCACGGCTTGGTTTGACTGGAGATTTACATGTGCACCAACATGTCATTCTCAAGTGAGTATCAACATGGCCCTTCTTGCAGGAGACAAGGCAGACATGACCTAGGTCACGTCATGTTCAAGACCAACAGAAGGGTTGCGTTGTCAGAGTGCTTGTCGACGTCTTGCAGTAGCGATGCGGCTTCTTGCGATATGACACAGCGTTGAGCCATTACTGAGCTTTCATGGACCGTACTTGTATATGAAGACGCGACGTTACTTCTATCACAGCAAGACCTTGCAGGGAGGACGCCATCAACATAGCGCGTACTATCTACCTTGTTTGCGCCTCACCCAAGTGTCGAATGCAGGACAACAACATCACGTGGGAAAAATGAATAGTTTGCTAGATATAGAAGTCGCTACAAGCGACGCTCGGCGTCGGAGCCACCACAACGTTTAGGATTCAATGGCCACGGCCTCGCCCTCTGCGGGCGCCTCAATGTTGAACATGGTGCGAATCTCGTCCGAGGTCTTGCCCTTGATCAAGGTCGCGACCTTGGCGCACGAGAGGTCGAGAAGCGACTTGATGTCCATGTAGTTGGCGGCGAGAATGAGCTCAAAGAGCGTCTCCTGCTCGACCTCGACAAAGGCGGCATCCCACTCCGAGACCACGTCGCGCATGTCGCCGCTCTTGAGGGGCTTCTCAATCTCCTCCATCGGCGTCGTGTGGTGGTGGTTGCAGAACTCAATGACCTTGGCCAGCACGGGGCTCTTGACATTGGGCAGCGGAATCTCGCGGACGGTGTCGTCGCCTTCGTCGTCGGCCAGCATGGCCTTGACGAGCTCGCTCACGCAGGCCACGTCACGCGCGACTTCAAAGCTGTCGCCGTCCTGGGACACGAGGTTCACCTTCGTCGAAGCGGTCATCCTGGTTGTGGGCGAGGCGGTGTTTTGGTAATTGACGAATGGCCACCGCCTGCTTCACGACCAACACTCTCCCACAACCGGAAAAATCCAAGTGGCGCCAACGGGATTGCTTTGTCCCAAAGCACCACTCTGCGGGAAAATGGCGGTGAAATTGCTGGGTGTAATAACGATGTCCCAGCATGGCCAAGGCTGCAGCACGGTCGGCCGCGACGGGCAGTGAGCGCTCTTCACGGTCTGTATTTTATTCCTTATCGTCGCTGAAATTAAAATATCCAAATGCAAATGCTTTACAAACCCACGACTGTCAATATTATTATCCTGGTTTCACACTATTGACAGAATGGCATACTCCGTGCAAGTCATTTTCCCCATGTGACATTAATTGTTGTTGATAATTCGGAGAAAAATAATATAGCATTAAAATGGACGAGAGAGGGCGACAAACTGGTGACGTTCAACCAGATTCGGCCACGTATGGCAGTGGAAAGGGTTTCTGGAATGCTGTAGGTAATAAGCTTACCGGTATTCCTGCGCATCAACAACCTTGGAAGCAGCGATGTCAGATGTGATCGATTGCACCAGCGGTGGACGAAGGATGGCTATCGCTTCCATGGCTAGCTACCGGCTGGATAGGGACCTTGATGTCGATCTAGGTTGCTGGGTTCGTAGCGACAACACCTTTCAACGGCATCGCCGTAGCATCGTTCTTGCCGCCGTATATCCCGACAGCGCAGGTGGCAAAACACCCAACGCTTGTTAAAAGAGCAGTCGGTACTCGCCAAAAGCCAATACGGCGCCGAGGTCATCGTATCCATTTATACAGGAAACAAATATTAATATTTGGACGCATTGTGGGAGGCTCCTAGTTGGGTGTTTTTCGCCTTCGAAGTTTGCTTCGATCTTCAATGATGCCATCAACACAAATCCAACCGACGATGGCAGCGAACGTGGCGATGGAGCTCTTTGCCAAGGTCGCGAGCCTCCTCGTGGGCCGCTTCACAGTCTCGTTTGAGAACGAGCTGCGCTTCATGGTACGACGTCTTCCGCCTGCCGCCGGCTCATCTATATGACACGTAGGCGGAAATGACGGGCTCGGCCGCCGCCCACGCGATGCGCGTCGACAACGTGCCGCAGCAAGTCGTGCGCACGGCGACGACCGCCCTCTCGCGCCTCTAAGCCAACACGTATTCCTTGTAGACTCTATGCTGACGTGGCTTAAGCGTCGCTCGTTGTTGGTTCTTTCGGCAGCGTCCACTTGAGGAGACGGCGGTAGGCCTCCGAGCCATACTGCGCGCGGAGCACCTTGCGCGCATACGACGCCAGCTTCTTCTTGTACTTGTCAGCGATGACCGACTGCGGCTTGGCTTGGTACTTGCGCGCGCAGGACGCGTGTACTTCGACCATAATCTGCAGCTGGAGCCGCACGTTCTTCGTGTGGATCGCAATCTTGAGCGCGTCCGTGAGCGTGCGCTCGCCCTCGTCAACCTTGCCGCTCGTTGCGAGCTTGGGGCCAAAGAGCACCATGATGGCTGCGGTCGTATTACTGCAGTTGATGGTAGTGCTGGCGAGTGTAAGACAGTCTTGGAGGATCGAGAGGCCGAAGCTGCGAAGCCCGTCCAGCTCCGGGTAGGACCCTGTCATGCCCAAAGCGTGGCTTGCCCAGAGCCACTTACCGAGATAGAGGTCGTACTACAATATGCAATGCGTACATATGTTGGTCTCAAGCAAAGGCGTATTACCTTGGCGCGGACTTCCTTGGACGGGCCGTCGTAAATGAGCTTGCGCAGCTCTGCGTCCCGCAAAATGCCGGCGGCAAATTCAAGAAGGTTCTCCGTCGGGTAAAAACTTGGAATCTCCGAAGCTGCATCGTCGTTCAAAGCGTCGGCAACGATGGCACCTGCGGGGTCCAGCTCTGGCAGCGGATCGATCGCAATCGTGGTTGCCACGTCGAGGATGTCCATGAGCACGAGCAAGCTCGCGTCCGACTGCTGCGGCCACGCCGGTGTCTCGGTCAACAAGAGTGAGAACGCCGAGTTGATGTGCGTCACGGCCGCGTCCATCGCGTTGAGCGAGTGGGCGTACTACAGGCACAAGGACGCGTGAGCCGCGACGTCGTCTCAAAGAGAGACCGTACCCGTGCCAGCACAATGTGAACGCGGGCGACAACGAGTGGCGTCGCCACAACAATGTGTCGGTATGTGGTGCAGAGGTCCACGAGGCATGTCGCGAGGTCGGCGAGCTCGCCAAACCGCCCTTGGCTGTCCAAGACAACGCAAGCGACTTCGTACGTTTCGAAGAGCGCAAGCGCACTGTAGCGCAGGTAGGCCGCCGAGTCGGGTGACGCGAGGTACGGCGGCCAGCGGGCCATTTGCTTGGCCGCGAGGGCGAGGCCTTGGTTCGGGTCGTAGTAACACTGCAGCCGAAACGTCATAAAGGCAGCATACAGCGACCAGAAAGGGTTGATCTCCTTGGGTGCCTTTGGCATCGTAGCGAGATAGGCTTTGGCGTCGACAATGCGGCCTTGGCGCAGGTACAGGAGTAGGCGGAGCAGATGAAAGTAAAACGAGAGCGCTGCGTCCTCGACTTGCCGCGCAAACTGGCTGCAAAAATCAAACATTTTGGCCGCACTCTCGGCAACGAGCGTGTCTGCCACCAAGAACGAGTGGCATAGCGTCTCGAGAAGCCATAGCTAGGAAAGCGCAGTCGTAAACAAGACGGGGGATCGAAGGTGCACCGACCTTGAAGGTAGAGTCGGTCGTGTGTGCAGCGAGGCGGTAGGCCGCAGCCGCCACCTCGCCAAACGTGGATGGAGCAATGGATCGATCGAGAACCGCGGCGTGCACATCGTCGAGCTGGTCTTGGAGTGTGGCGACGAACCACCCGATGC